ATAATAACATTTTGTCTTACACTTAAAGTGACAACGAGCCACTATTATTAATCATTAATATCATGTGTTAATCAAATTCACAGTTAAGTAAATTTATCTATGTGTTATGTAGCTATGTGTAACCTGTAACTGACAGCAACACATTTGAAGCCACCACTATAAAATATTTATCTGCTGTTCTGTCAGGAATTCACAGTAACATTATTACAGTGAGCGAAGTGTCAGTCAAGGCTGGAGGCTCCATCTCAATCCCCCGTCTCTGAGCTGCAGTACAGAAACTATGTGAAATACCTGTGTAGATACCATTCCTGGCAGCCTTGCAAAAAAGAAGTTAAAACAAACCAGCCAGATAATTCAGGAAAGTTTTCAATCTCTGATGACAAAAAGCAAAGAGTCTTCACTGTGACTATTAATGATCTGACGTATAAGGACACTCATTACTTGTGTGCTGTGGAGATTAAAAATGCGCTGGATTTTAAACAACATTTTCAGCTGTCAGTCACCCCAGGTAAAATCCATTAAATGTTTTAAATAGATTTTCTGTGAACTATTTGGTGGAGGAATAAAAGCTTTCTAGCATGAAGGAGGAAGTGTGACTGTCACGCACCTCTATAAATATCAAAAAGTAGCAGAGTGGTGCAGGCTGGGCAGCACCTGTGTGACAGATCAGTCTGGGTCAATAAATGGAACAACAGTTAGCATCAATGCAGGTGTCCAAAACATTTTCACTGTGACTGAACTGAGGACAGACAGCAGTGGCTAGTATTGGTGTGCCAACAAAGTCTACCAGATGTCAGTGCATATAACTGTTCATGAATCAACCTCAACTACCACAACTATGTGCCCCCAGTACAGCAAGTAAGACACGAAGCATTTTCTATTTTCAAAATCTGGGTGTTACAGTATAATCATTCACAAAACACAGTATTAAAAAATCCCTTGATATTATCTAGTATGTGGATTGACATGGGTTTTCACATTTATTTATTCAGACTTTACACGGACACTTCCCACCACTACCCAGAATTTCTCCTGGCTTATGCGTGCAAAGACATGCGGCCTAGGTTGATTGGTGACCCTAAATTGTCCTTAGGTGTGAGCGTGAGTGGTTGTTTGTCAATGTGTGGCCCTGCGATGGACTGGCGACCTGTCCAGGGTGTACCCCGCCTTTTGCCCGATGTCAGCTGGGATTGGCCCCAGCCCCCCGCAACCCTGTACGCAGGATAAGTGGTTGACGATGGATGGATCTTTATGTGTCCTTTGTGTTTCCTAATACAGAATAACTGTATATTGTATCAAGTGTATGACTGTATCAAAACACTAAAGCACATATTTGAGGATTGACATTCAATTTTAGTTTTTTTTATCATTCATTCTTGAGCGCAGATTGTTGTGTTGCATATTGTAAAGTATATCATTTTCTTTCAGCTAAACTCCATAGCTCAGTCAAAATGTGACTGTATTTCATGATTTTTAGTTTTATAAATTAAACACCTTAAAGAAGAATGTATGTATAGTTCATTTACAGACAATATGACTGTACAAATACATTGACATCCTTATTTTTAAATTCAGTTTATTTTACCTGTAATGTACCTCTGATCTGCATTTATCTTCTAGTTCCACTAAAATCACCATTCTCATCACCACCCTCGTCTTGGTTGTTATTGCTGCCTTTATTGGATGGAGGATAACTCGTAGTGAGTCTAAACCTTGCTAATACAAAATCAGGAATAAAGTATCTGTTATTTGAAACTATCATGTTAAAAATATATTTGTATTTAGATAAGACCAAACCTGAGGGGCCTGACATCGTTGTGGTAAGCTATGTATTTTCTTTTTCTTTTTTTTCTTTGTGGTGATAAATATATACGGTATATAAAATATATACCTTCATCACTGGCATATTTCCTCTTTCCTCAGTAAAAAAACACAAAAAGCTGTAATCTAACTAAAAACATAATCTTGATATTTGAAGTGTTGGTAAAAATGAAATGACAAAGTATTTTTATAATCAGAACAGTAATTTAGACTCAGCTGCAGTTCTTCCTTCTTCTTAAACATTTAAATAATTGTTCTTTGCAAGTTTGCTCTTTCCCAAGCAGCCTCTATGTAGCTGTAGTGAAAAAAATGCTAATAAGTCCCAGATAAACTTGTCAAAACGTACCTGGTGTCGGAATAGCAACACCTAGTACACACTTCCGTCTCAGACCATGGGCTAAAAACTCACAACTGCTACTTGGTCTTCTTCTATGTGGCTTGTAATAATGCGACACATACAGCTTACTGTTGTGAATTAATTTGGAGCATTATAGCCTAAATTGTTATCATTAATTACTAGAGCAATGGTGGTCTACACTGTCATAATTTAAAGTGTTATTTTATAGTGTAAAGTTAGGATCACAGTGTGAAAACTCTACAGCTCTGAGTGTGTGTGCTCCTTTCTGTATCTAACTGCCCAGGCACATGTGTGTGTGTGTGAGCAAGTTCGTGTGCTTTGGGAGAAAAGGGAGGGAGCACAGTAAGATAGCATCAAAAATACCTGCAAAGTAAAATATAGAAGCAGATTTTGTGCAAATTGTATAACAAAACATACATCAGTATAGTCCATCACAGTAAGAATGTCCTGTTTCTAGCACAGAGCACAAACAACACCAGTTTATTCCACAAAAGTCAGGTTATGGAAGAAATGGCATGATCAAGCAGAGTTCATGCAGAGGACACAGAGAGGAGGAGCAGGCAGTCAGGGACTTTCCCAGACCCAGGTGCAGTAGGAAAGAGAGCCAAGAGATGATGTAAAGCCAAGAAACAGAGCTATAAAAGGAGGTCCAAAAGGAGGTGAAAGTCAGTCGTTACATGGTTTTCATGTCGACTCGGGTCTCTGTTCTGGTAACAGAATGGGACTCTATTTTGCACCGATCTCTGACACACTCCGGTGGAACTGTTGTGTTCTAATTGGTGTCTGTTTTTGTTGATAATAAAAATGTTGGTAAAAGTTCAAGCTTTCTTATCTGGCCCAAGTCTTGAATTTTTACACGACATTATTACTCTGTCACTTACTGGCAAGTGCTGTGTAAGAACATAAATGTTACTTTATATTGTTAAACATGATGTTAAATTGAAGGAATTGGACAGGTTTAATAAAATCTTTCTATTTGCAGAGTAACAGTAATGACATACAATATATGACCCTGGCAAAATTGACATTGACAGTAAATGTAAAACGAAAAAAGTAATTTCAGTGATAATGTTTCTTCCCTTCCTACAGCTTCTGTTTCATGTTAAAAAGCACTGTTAACCACTCTCCCCCAAGTGCTGTAGGGTAGGGTAAACTAGACCTGTGAGAAACAGCTAGAAACAGGAAATGACACATTCTGAATCTCAATGCTTCTCACATTTAAGTAAGAGCCCAGGCCAGATAAATAGCTTTACTTACTTTTAAAATTTAAATTTACCAAACTATTTTGCAGTTAGACGGGAGAAAACAAACACTTTGAACATAACAGATGATCATAGTAATGTCAAATTTGAAATTCATCCATCACAGGGCTCACAAACTCTGAGTGATCCTGATGATCTCTATGCCACCATCGTTCAAAATCAACATGTAGCAGCCCAGAAGGAGATAAACCGGACAAGAACATTTTTTTGTGTGTAACACAGTTTAAAAACACATTTCTCAACATTTCTATTTGTCTTTCCCCTAAAATTGTATCACTTTGACTGCGAATCTCATCCAGCAGAACCAAATACCCAAAGACAGTGTGACATACAGTACCATTGTAATGAAGGATAATTTGCCACAAATGGTATGTTATTAATTACGCTTAATTACGCTTAATGCTTAGATAGGCATCTTAATATGTCTATCACATAGATTGATATTTGTTATGATTAGTTCATAATTATTCAGTTATTCAAATGTTTGATTCTACGGGGGGCCATGGGAAACATCCTTTGCTGTATACATACATTTGCATGTCTACCATTTGTCTGTGATTTGTACTTGAGGGTATTTAAGGAGGAAAAATGCAGAATGTAGGGAGAATATCTTGTTGAGAATTGATTCATAGCATCTTTGACTCGATACTTCTTTGGGAAGAAATTTTCTTTCACATAACGTCTTGCCATTGAAGACAATCATGAGACTATCCAGACAGAACCTTACTGCACTTCCACTCGTAATCCTCCTCCACACACTGGCTTAACGAGATCCTCCACACTTTGCACCTATATCTGATTATCACATTCATTAATTAGCATTCAATGGACAACCACAAGCTTTGATTGGGGTGTGGTATTATATTGGGCAGATTAAATGAAAATAATTCTCCTTCTGTTTCATTAATGTAAAGCACTCAGGTTTCAATAAAGTTGTGCAAGCAGCTTTACTTGCTTACTGTGTACATTGCTTATACTGAAAGCAAATAACTGTAATGTCCTTAAGAGGAGGAAGAGACATTTTTAACAGTTGTGACTGCATGTGTAGGAAAACAGGAAGTAGAGAATGTGTCTTTCAGTGTATTGGTTTAGTTGTTGGTTTGTTTGACTTTCTTCTCTCTGCAAAATGGATATGCATCTCAGAATTCTTCTCATCCTCCCTGGACTCACAGGTCAGTTACAGGGGTCCTTTTATGAGTCTTTTGCTTGAGCTTGTTATGTCAGATGACGATGGAATGCGTAATTAAATACACAATTCTGTAAAATGTATGTCAGATGAGTAACACACGTGTAGCATGACTACATTTGATCTAATAAATTTATGAGAATTAATACCAAATTATGAATTTTAATATTCAGAAAATATTAATTCACAAAGCTTCTCGTTTCGCGGGGCACCACCGGAGATTTTATTAGAATAAAGAGTCTCCGGACCTCTGGGTAGCTTTTAATAATTATACAATTATTCACTAATGATCAGTTAGTTAATAATCGCTCAATTATCTTAAATCAGTCAGTCAGTCTCATATGGAAGGGGTAAATTCTTGCAGGGACTTGGAGATAGGCAATACACACACAATTCCTTTGATTATGGTGAGATTTATTAACTAACTCAGGTGCGGTTACATATACATCAAAGAAATAATCTATTAACAACTATGGGACATCACTGATCACAGAATGCCGTGTTTTGCCTTACTGTGGATCAGCGGCCTGCCTTGGCCAGTTGCAGGGGTCCCCGATTCCTGGCTTTCTGCTAAGGAATTTTCCGGGTGTTCTCCGTGTCTTGAATGAAGTGTTGATCGTCCTTGGTCTGGGGGTTTTCCATTCATCCCCCAGCCCGAGTTGGCCGCCAGAATACAGAAATCTACCGAGTACTCCGCCACGCTCCAATCACCCTGGCGGAGGGAGAGGAGGCGACATGGCGCCTCTCTTCCTCACACTGGGCGATCGCATACTCTCCGCATCTCCTCAACAAAGGAGGAGTAGGAGGAGAGGACGTGGGGCTGACCCTCACTGACGGCTGCGTACCAGGCCAGGGCCCGGTCGCGGAGTAACCAGCGACATAACAGATCTTAGCCTCATTGGACTGGAAAGACACTGGTTGCCTCTTGAACACCAGGGCGCACTGAACCAAGAAGCCGTCACACGTGTCCAGAACAGCGGAGAACTTATCTGGATGGGAAACTGGAGACTCGCGGGGTGAGTACGCGCCTACTGGGGGGCTCGGGACAAAGTCAGCGGAGAGAAAACGAGGAGGAGACTGAGAGGGGGACAGGGGCGTGTGAAGCAGGGGTCGGGAGCCGCGCGCTGAGACGCCGCACCTCCTCGCCCAGGGAGCAGAGCGCGTCGGACACCGACTGGAGCCGGGCCGCGTGCTGATCGAGAACTGCCCCCTGGGAGGCGACGGCGCGGATGACTTCCAGCGGAGTGGGGTCGGTGGAGGGGGGAGGAGAAGGGGAGCGTGCTCGGTCCATAGTGGCTTGATCGTTCTGTAACGGTAGGAGACAGAACTGACCCAAACGCAACGCTGAGGATTTGCAAAAGAGGTTTATTCAACGCAGGGGACCGAGCAGCTGGAGGAGCGGAAGGAGCTTAGGCTGGAGGTTCGAGGGAGGCTGGCAGAAGTGGAGGAGAGAGCGCGGTGACTGGGGACCCGGCGGGGTGCAAGGGGGGAAGCCGGAGGGCGTCGTGGAGGTGGCGAGAGGAGGAGGCTGGCGAGCAAGCCCGGCTGGCCGAGCTGGGAGGCAGAGGTGAGTGAACCTGGTAGGAGGAAACAGACAGACAGGGTTAGCAGGTAACTAGGGCGTGAAACAAAGGGAAATGTCAAAAGAGCCAGAACGAAGCGGTGACACCAAGTCAGGAGCTGCGACGATCGAGCGAGGATGGAGTGGAAAGCCGGGGTAGAAATACTGGTCGTGATGAGGCTGATGGCTAGCAGGTGCGGTGGCCGGGGATGGAGGTTAACGAGGTGCAGGTGTCGGTAGCCAGCCGGGCTCCGGAGCAGAGAGGGAGAGAGGGCACAGGAAAAAAACAGAATGCGAGGGAAAGGAGAAACAGGACACTCACCAACAGCCGGGCTGTCACCGCAACAGAAAAGTCTCTTATCCCTCTACAGCTACTTTGCTGCTCTACTCAGCACTATCACACACTGTCCAACAACTGGTTTAAAATAGGGTAAAAATACACTTGCTGTAAAAAATAAATAAATAAACCCATACTTTTTACACCAATGGGTCCCCCTGTGGTTTGGGGGTTAAGACGCATACTATGAACTTCAACACCTTTCCCTCATTTCCTATTATCTCTCTATTATCTGTGAGATAAAGACATACAAAGCCCGCCAAAATGCTATATTTGAACTTCCTTTAACTTAACTGTCATCTCTTAAATCAAAGGTTTGGCTTTTTAAGTGGTTGGGACACATTTTGTTGAACAACCAGTTGTGTATTAAAACTTACGTTTGTATGTCATATGTAGAAATGCACAAACAAACAAAAAGAGCTTGATTCTGCAAAACATTAATATGTATTTGCTTAATACAACTCTTCCAAAACAGGATATAATACTGTTTTCTGCTTTTAAACAGCTATTTAATTTTTCATGCCAGTTGGGCATGCTGTGCCCAGTCTGCAAAAACAAGTACTCAAGTAAAAGCAGTCATCAAAGAAAGCACGAGTAGTAGTAGTAGTGGTTTTGAAGCCCTTGAAGTTCCTCATATTCCGGGCAAAACCCCTGGATAATTTCTCTTCTCTCTATTTTTAATTTGTCACAGAAATGATCAGCGTCTGGTAGGGTAGGATTTTATTTTCAAAACTCGTGCTTTCTTTGTGCCCTTATGCAGCCAGGCTTTGGAATGATTATGCAATGATATTTTGAATAGCCACCGACAGAGAAAAGCAAGTCATTTACACCCCACACTTGGCATTAATGCATGTTGTTGACCAGATTGCAATTAGATAGTGCTTGACCACATGAAAGTACAGGTGGAACACTGCTCGATCTGATATCTTGTGAGTGGCAAGTTCTTGCAAGAAGACGCCGGCGGAAACGTGAGTTGGAGAGAGGATTCCTCTCTCGGATTGTCTTTGAGTGAAAATTATTTTTCTGGTTAAAAAAAGGGGTGTTAGCAGGTGTCACTGTTAATGTTGTCAGACACCTGGTATAACAGTCTGAGTCTTGGTATATATAGCTCCACATGTAGAATAAAAAAATATTTTGCACTACCTGAGTGTTTTCCAGTGTGGGCATTTTATTCAAATAATTATAATAATTAGTTCTGTGTTTTGAATAAAAGCTGAAAATGTAATTAAATCTCCAATACTTCACTCGACATCTGAGTCAAATACATATTTATGCAAGCCCACTACTCCAATGGGCTATGCAAACACTTTGTTGCAATACTTAACTTTTATTACTAGAGGGCAGTAGCTATCTGCTGTATGAAAAGTATCAGGCATAGCATACAGACATTCCTTGGCAAGCAACTTCTCCTCTAACTCTGCTGTGTTTCTGCAGCTCCTGTGTTTTCTTAAAGCTCTCCTCCCATGGTGCCAGCTCCAACAATCCTCCAACCATCCTTCAGAGCTTTGTGTTTTGTGTCCCACTGTGTCTTGCTCTAGTGGATCTTAGCCTGTATATATTTTTTTTTTAGCTTGGCCAGGTATCCCCCTACTAGTGCCATAATTTCCTTTCTGACAATGGAGATCACCTCATCATTCTTTTCCTGAATGATAGGGGTTGCCTTCTTCTCACAGTCCTGCTGCAAAGTTACTAACTACTAGCTACTAACCAGCGTTCCCACTCTTCATTGAACTGTATCACAGTTTTGTCAGGAAGGAAAATTTCTTCTCATTGACCTAGTCGTGCTCTGCCTTCCAGGATTTTTTGACCTTCTCAGTCTGTATATTTCATCAAAGAGGCTCAGCTAATCTAGCTAGCTGCCTCTGCCTTGTATCACTATTGGTTTTAGAAACAAATCGTTCCACATTTACTTTGTATTGCAACCATGCAACTGGTCGCATTAGCCGGCAAGCTATTGTCATCTAACTTGAGCCAACTAAACACAAAATCGCAGTGCATTTAACATACTTTGCAGTAACGTTAGTTTACCTGTCCCATAGGTTTTTATATCCACAACAAAGCGGAGGTCTCTCTGTGACCCAAACACCTTTCAGTTGTTGACCATGTTTTCACCCATCATCGATCTGATTCTCATTTGGCTTGACAAGCTTCAGCGCATAAAAGTTTTTTGTTGTTTTTTATCCTAACATGGAATTTGTTTTGCTGGTCATTTCATTAGTCAGTTTGTGTCTGACTAGCTAATGTTAGATAATGCTACTTATGGTTATTTTAAGGCACTGTGGTGGTTATCAAAATGATCAAAAACACTATTAAAAAGATAACAGTACAATCATACTAGGTCTTTATTAATACTCTATTTGTGTTTTTCTCACTTTGGACATTCCTAGTTGATTATTAAAGGTGAACTGAAACCATACCAGAAAACAATTAAGCATATTTGGAAAGTACACTCTAGCTGTATATATTTATACATCATTCAACTAACCAATGTAACGCAACTTCCTTACAATAGGAGGAAGACAGACTGACAAACTGTTGCATAGTCATAATTAGGAAATTAGGAAGTAGCCGTTCACTTTCGCAGAGGTTCATTGTGTTATGTCTGCTCACTTACTGACATGGCTTTGCATCTCAGCTTTCTTCTCATCCTCACTGGACTCACAGGTCAGTTAGATGATTTTTTTTTTTTTTAACTGTGTATGTCTTGTGCTGCTGATGGTTCTGTCAGAAGATGATGATAATCAATAATCTGTTGGGGGGGTTTTCTCCTATTTTTTTTAAACATTGTTTTATTTTTTTAGTACTTTCTCTTGCATGTTCCAAATAAAGAATTAAATTCAAATTCAAATAATGATAACTGTCAATTGGACAAGTAATTCCCTCCAATTTTATATTTCATACCTATGTTTTGAAGACATTAATAACCTAATACTTGAAACAACAGCAAATATAAACTTCCACAACAGGCCGGTCATGTGAAAGAAGATAATAGTGAATATCAACTAAAATAGTGTATTTGTTCTTATTGCAGGAATTTGTAGCATGACTACAATCAGTCAAGTATCAGTGAAGGCTGGAGATTCAGTCACTATCCCATGTCTCTATAACTCACAATACATGAACAACGTGAAATACTTGTGTGAAGGATATTATTGGTCCCACTGCTCATATGCAGTTAGAACAAACCAGCCAAATTCAGGAAGGTTTTCAATCTCTGATGATAAAAGCAGAAGAATCTTCACTGTGACTATAAAAGATCTGACAGAAAGGGACAAATATTACTGGTGTGCTGTGGAGATTGATCAAGGGTCAGACATTGGAGAGTATTTTCATCTGTCAGTCACAACAGGTAAGAACCCTTAAAGCTTTACTATGCACATTTCAAATCCTTCGTGAATTTTTTACCATTTGGACACTGAGGAGGGTCTTATTGTTTGCTGCAGATACTTTTTTTAATAATTACTTTGTCAGTCAAAAGTGATAAGAATAAATGTAAGGGACAAGAAAAGTATTTATTCACCAGTTGTATTGTGACACATTTGAAACATCGCCAACATGTATCAAAATCTGTCCACAAGTTTCTACTTAATACTATTTGTTTTCTCTTAAGGTACACCCAGTCTCTATGTGAATCGTCAGGAGATTGCAGGACTTAATGGACAAAATGTAACCATCAATTGTAACTACAGTAACTCTGGAGAAATAAAGTGGTGCAGGCTGGGCAGATCCTGTGTGACAGATCAGTCTGGATCAATAGATGGAACAAGTGTGACCATCAGTAAAAGTGTCCCTAATGTTTTCACTGTGACTATGAGTGGACTGAGGACAGAGAGCAGCGGCTGGTATTATTGTGTCAAAGGAGACTTTCAGATGCCGGTGCATTTAACTGTTACTGAGCAACCTACCACTAGTAACTACTGTAAGTAATTATACATTCTAAATGTTGTATTATCCAAAAAATTAGAAATAAATTATAAATACTTGTCAAATAGGGCTGGAAGTCATTTGTAAATGTTTTATTTAACACGGATGAGAGAATAGGATTTTGGATTATATTTACAGTAAAAGCGACAAGCCATTTACTGTCATATGACATACTCCTGAGACTGTGAATCTCACCTCTGTTTTGCAGACCAAACACCAACAACAGTCCAGGCTGAGCAGCGCAGGTCAGAAGGCTTTGCATTTGCAACTATATTGTTGGACTGTTTAAACAAGTCTGTTCATCTTAATTAATTTGCACTGTGTGCTTTCAATGTATGCTGCAGTGTTCCATTTGACCTAAAGAGCCTCATCATCCCTTTGAGTGTATTGATCTTCATTGTAATTGTGACCTTGTTCATCTGGTTTATGTTAAACAGACACAGTAAGTTCACGCTAAACTTTGATCAAAACAATTCATGCTAAAACTGTTTTTTATTCATAAATATTGTTACTTTAAATGAAAACTACATTTGAGCTTTGGCTCTGGCATTGAGCTTTGAGTGTCTTAAGTTCACTTTTATTTCCAAATTATAGGGCACACCAAAGCGGAACTGTCAGCCACAACAGTAAGACATGCTGATGCATTTCCCACTCCTTTTTTTTGTTTTATTTTTACAAAATTGCTACACAAAGGAACATAAAACGTAAAAATGGCTGTGACTATGCTGTCCCATTGCAGCTACAGGACTACATAATATCCCAGCAGAATATCTAATAATTATAGTACATAAAAAAAACCCAACATTTCATGTATTGTTTAATAGAAGAATATAGTAAGCACATATGTGATCACAAATGTGGCAATAGGTTTAATTAATGAAGCAGTTATGGTTATTGATTCATACCTGCCATTCTTTTTTTCCATCTGACATTTGGTTTCCTTTTTCAACACAGCCTGAAGCAGAAGTAACATACAGTACCGTTAAGAAAAAGAGAAAAACTTCAGGCCAGGTAAGGGACTGTGTGAAAATGATTGGGGGCGAACCATATGTTTCTTTTTTCTTTTTTTTAACAAGACCTTCCTCATATATATTTATATTTTCTTTTTATCACCATTATCAGAACTCAATTTAACTATGTGATCACAACAAATGTGGCTATTGAATAAGGTTTTAATAAATCCTTATGGTACTTCCTCTTTTTTCATTACTGCATATGAAATGCTTCAAGCTTACTATTTTTCACAAAGGTGGTCATGTTGAACTAATCTAGTCTAACAGTGTGTAAAGTAATAACATTTGGTTTGTTCCTTCATCAGGCTGAAGAGGACGTAACATATAGTAATATTAATTACATGGGAAAAATGTCAAGCAAGGTAGTACTTCCACTAAAACGATAACTTATATTGCGACTACTGATTGTTTCTACTCAGTTTGGGTTGTCTTGACTATAACACTAGTCCCCTGCAATAATTTGATAGAAAAGTTTCCCTTTACATAAATAAACATTTCCACTATAAATGGTTGCCAAAAAGGAAGTCAAAATTAGAACAGAAACAAAATCACCAGAATGCAGGAAATTAAGTGTTCAACGCTAACCCTAACCTATACCCCCAGCTCAATATGCGTCCCCTCCAGTGTTAAGATGAAACCTTGCACCACACACATTTATAATGGAATAAAACAAAAAAAGTTAAAACTGTTCAACTGATCTGTGTTTGCCATCTGTCCCTTCTTTCTTGCCCAGAGATCAGATGCTCAGAGTGACGCGGATGTGACATACAGCTCTGTGGTTATTGTACAACAACAAAATGTCCAAAGGGTAAATTTTAATCCAAACTCACATTGTTAGTGCACCTTTTTTTCCCTAATTTTTTTTGCCACGATGCTAATGCGGCTTTATAGATGGCAATGTCATTCTGGATTTGTCAGTCCACCACCATAGACTATTATACAATTTTGTATAGACATTCCTTGTGTTCAGAGGATGTATCCAAACAGATTTGATGATAGACCTTTTATTCAGTGCCATCATCAGGTCAAAAATTTCATTTGCTTATGACCAAATACCTGCTAAGCTAATGGCATTACCATCAGCCTCAGTTTTGCTTGGTTTTTAGTGCTAATTAGTAAATGTTAGCATGAATATGCTAAAGTAAAATTGTGAACAACGTAAACGTACATGCTAAACATCAGTACGTTAGCATTTTCATTGTGGACATGTTAGCATGCTAAAGTTAACATTTAGCTCAAAACACCACTATGCCTAAGTGCAGCCTCAGAGAGCTGCTAGTGGCTGCAGATTCTTAGTCTGGATTGTCTTTGAACTTTCTTCTCAAATTGTCTTCCTAATTCGTCATTTTATCTGTTTTCCAACAGGTTGAAGCAAAAGCTGTTGATGTAATATAGAGCAGGTTGGCTCAGCATCATCACAACTTGTAAATGTTTCTGCTACTACTACTGCCCTTATATCATATCTCCATGACTGTCATTGGACTCTTTTTGATGATAGTGTTGTAATGTTTTGTAAACTATTATTGTTTGGTTATTCAGTAACTTACTTGAAGTTTCACACATGTTCTCAATTTTTTTTTACCTTCCTCTGCATAGCTGCAAAACATTTCTAACAAGCACTGATCTGGACGTTGTTTCCCAAAAACAACTTTAAGCTCAGATGGTTGTAAAATCCCTCTTTCAAACCTTCTTCTACCTAACAGGTGTTTCCAACCTAAATGGTGTGTGTTATGTCGATAACTTTAATATTTTCTGGAAAAGAGTGTCTCTTTTTAAGACAGACGGATTTCACCCAAACAAACAGGGCTCAGAAATGTTAGCTGCTCACATATATGGATTACGTGAATGACTAATCATTCATGCAGCACATCTGGACACACCACCGGTCACTGATCAGATCTCTACCTCACTGCCACTAACAACTGTCTCCACCTGCTGGCATGTAAAGCCGTCTGCTCCCAGCACTGTTCCAAAGACTTCTATTCCTGTCATCATCACGCATAGACCAGTAAACCGAAATGTGTACATCCCACACAGAAATCATAGTAATCTTATAAGGATTAGGACAACTGCACCAACTCCAGCACCCAAAACAAACTCATTTAAAATGGCTCTCTTCAATGTGAGATCACTGTCAAGTAAGACTTTTATCTTAAATGATTTTATCTTGTCTGCAAATCTAGATATTATGTTTTTAACTGAATCATGGTTGCAAATGAATGACTATAGCCAGCTAGCTGAACTGTGTCCGCCTCAATATGATTGTTTTAGTCAACTGAGGGTCAGTGGTCGTGGTGGTGGGCTTGTGAGCGTGTATAGGAAAAATGTTAAATGTCATCAAGTATGCTGTGATGAATTTAACTCCTTTGAAGTGCTCACTCTTAAACTTGGAGGGCTGCAACTTATATATTAATATTTGTTAATAATAATTGTATTGTATAAATGTATTGTTTTTAGCTGCAATTCGCCTGTTACTCATGCCACCTCTCCAAGCTCCGTGTGTTCTCTCATCTTTAATGAACAAAGTGTTTCAAAGTTTTGCACATTCTTTCAGAGCCAAAGCCAATACCTGTCTGATTCCAACACCAACACCAACAATCTAGTTGATCACTTCAATCATATCTGCTTGTCATCACTAAATATTACTGCTCCTCTAAAGGTTAGGCCTACGTCTAAAGCTAGTAAGCAACCCTGGATAAATGACAGCATTCGTAGCCCAAAAAGGGAATGCAGGAAAGCAGGGCGCAAATGGAAAAAATCCAGTCTCCAAGTCCATTACCTCAGTCTGAAGGATTTATTAATTAACTACAATAACATGACTAAGGATGCGAGAACACACAATTTTTCTGAACTCATTACTACACATAAACACAATCCCAGGTTTCTGTTTAAGACTGTGGATCAGCTGGTAAACCCAACCCCTCCTTGTGCCTCAGCTGGTAGTAGTGGCTAGTAATGATGACTGTGAATTGTTTTTATCTTATTTTACCAATAAGGTGGTGTCAATCAGAGCCTCTATTACCCCCACTGGCTCTTACTGTGAGGTTCCTCACCAGCAACAAGAGAGTTTTAACCAGTTTTATCCCATCGACTTGTCTGAGCTTTTAAAAACAGTACCACAAATGAGAGTGTCCTCCAGCCCACTTGATGTAATACCTACAAAATTTTTAATGAAAGTAATGGATTCTGTTGGGCCCCATTTGATCTCTGTTTTTAACAGCTCCCTATCTACTGGTTGTGTCCCTGATTATTTTAAAACGGCTTACATGAACCCACTTTTAAAGACACCTGGTTTAGATCCCTCCCTCCCACAAAATTTTAAAACAATTTCAAAACTGCCTTTTATAGCAAAGATTTTAGAAAGAATTGTGTCCAAACAGCTGCTCACTGTACTAGAAAATAACAAATTATTTGAAAAGTTTCAGTCTGGTTTCAGAAAGTACCACAGCACTGAGACTGCCCCACTTAAAGTCACTAATGACCTTTTAATGTCTGCTGATGAAGATATGTGCTCAGTCCTGGTACTCCTGGACCTTAGCGCTGCTTTTGACACCATTGATCACAATATCATGTTAGACAGACTGAGGCACTGGGTGGGGATCTGTTAGGAGTGTGGTTTTGTGTTCATGTCTTTCCTGTTTAAGTCCGTTTTTAGTTCTGTGGTTCTCTGTGTAGTCTTGTTTAGTTCTTAGTTCTGTACTTTAGTTCATGTTAATGTTATTCCTGGTCTGTGTATTTCTGTGTTTCATTATTTGATCTTGTCTTAAGGGTTGTAGCTTAGTTTATTCTTTGTTTATCTGCATGTTTTGTACCTGTTTGAGTCCTTAGTCCTATGTCTCCATGTTTTAGTGTAGTCCTCTCTCCTGTTTGGTCCGGTCTCAGTCCATGCCCCTGTCTTTCCATAGTTTGTTTTTTACTTTGGTAGATCTGTCCTGGTGTGTTCCTGTAACTTTACTTCCTGTTTTATTTTGTAATCTTCTGTGCCCGGGTGGTGTTGTCTAGCTTTGCTTCCTGTTCTGTTCTCCTTGAGGTGTTCCACCTGTTTTATGTTCCTGCCCCGATCGTTTGCCTCACTACTTAATGCCTGTGTTCTATTCAGTCTGTGTTGGATCATTGTGGTTAATCTCATAGGTGTGTTTGCTCTGCTCCTGCTCCCTACCTTCTTATGGATTTTTGGTTCTAAATGGATAACCTGGTTTTCGTTGGACTTGTATCTGCTGCTATTTTGAGTACGCCCTCAATTAATTAAATATTGAACTGAACCTGCTCAGCTCTTGTGTCCTGCGTTTGGGTCCTCAACCTTATATACCAAATAGGAAGTTCTGTGTGTCTGTAAACAACTGTGTCTTCGTTCTGTCCAGTTAAATATGGTGTGCCTCAGGGGTCGGTCTTAGGACCCATTTTGTTCTGCTTCCCCTTGGACATATTATCCATAAACATGGTATTTCTTTTTATATTTACACTGATGACACACAAATGTACTTTCTCGTCAGATCTACAGACCCTGGAATGCTGAGTTCACTTAACAACTGCCTTTGTGAAGTTAAAAAATGGATGTTATTTATACAAATTATTTCCTTCAGCTAAACTCAGACAAAACAGAAATCCTGGTCATTGGGTCCCAGCAGATGGCAAAACAAATACTGCCATCTGCTGGTTCCCTAGTAAATCACATTAAGCCTGTTGCAAAGAATCTTGGTGTTTGGTTTTATAGTACTTTAAATTTTGAGCAGCACACCACAAAGCTTGTTCAATCATGTTTTGATCAACAAAAATTCGATCTATCTATGTTCATTTTTAAGGACACCGAGACCATTTTACACACCTTCATCTCATCACGCCTGGATTATTGCAACAGCCTTTTCACTTGTTTAAGCCAAAAATCTACTGATCGACTCCAACTGTCCAGAACTCAGCTACCAGGCTTTTAACCAGAACAAAGAAATATGACCACATCACCCCTATTTTAGCTTCATTACACTGACTCCCAGTATGTTTTACAATTGACTTTAAAATTTTATTGATCAATTTTAAAGCTCTTCATGGCCTCTCGCCTTGTTATATTTCTGACATTTTAGTCCCATACACACCAGCACGTACCTTGAGATCCTCGGGCAGAAGTCTGTTGTCTGTTCCAGAGTCTCGACGGAAAACTAAAGGGGACAGAGCGTTTGCTGTCAGGGCCCCGAGGCTCTGGAACAGCCCTCCCGAGGAAATCAGGTCGGCTGAGTCAGTGAACTATTTGAAGTCCCTTCTTAAAACATACTTTTATAGGAGAACCTTTCCCGATCTTATTTGACTTTATTTTATCCCTTTTATTTTATTCTATATTACTTATTTTATATTTATCTTAAACGTGTATTTTAGTCTTTTCAATGTTTTCTTGCTTTTATCATGTATTGTTTTTGTATTATTGTCTTTTGGGTATTATTGTCTTTATACTTGTTAAAGCACTTTGTAACTTGTTTTTGAAAAGTGCTCTACAAATAAAGATTATTATCATTATTATTATTCCCAAAAACAACAACAAAAGCATTCTACACTCTTAGAAATGACTGTGGACGACTGCCTCGCTCTTACCCACTCATATTACCTAAGAGCATCTAAGAAACTTCAGAACCTGCAGGAGGAATGAAAAAATACGTTTTATTTAAGATTTTAGTGTTTTTGTTGATACTTTATCACAAACGATGATTTTGTCTGTTAAGTGAAGTTTGATGTAAAATGAATGATGTTAAAATTACAAAATAACAAAATAAAATTAAACCAAGACAAATTCATTCATTAATCTTCCCCCTTCTGTTGTTATCTTCCTCCTCTCCCTATACTCTTCTATTGTATTCATCTCTTCCGCAGGGAGCATCACTATCCCATATCTCTATGACTGACAGACATAAGTTACGTTGTATTGTGTATTCAGCATCTTCAACGCTAAACACATCTGACATGCATTTGCTCTTAAATGCTGTTTTGGGAAATATGTAGAAACACTTTAGTAAACACTAAGATTGCAAAGTGTTTGAAAAGACCATTCACTGTTAAAATGGTTAATAATTCAGACTTATATTTTTGGGATGTTGAAAAACGTCTAGTGTATTTTGTCTGTGTTTTAACTAATATATGAATGAATATGAGTGTTCATACCTCAATGCACATTCGGGAATATTGCAGTTTTGTAAATAAATGATTAAATGTAATTGAATGAGGCTAAATGAACAAACTTGGAGTGTATTGTGTCATAAGATGAACAAGAAATCAGTTGAATCCTGCAGTGCTGAAAATAATTTTGTTTCCTCAAGGCTGGAATATAGTGGTAACCGTGGTATTCAAGAGTCAGACTGAGGGGTTGTTTCAGAAATCAAAATCATTTTATTTCACCACTTTTGAGAACCAAAATAAACACTGGACTCTAATTTTTATTTTAAAGCATTAATAACCAATGCTTGAAGTGGGCTGGAATGCACCAGTACACAGTACCGCCACCACAACGTTTTACTCTTACCGGGCGTAGCGGGACATTTTCTTGCGTACCGGAACTTCTCCCAGGCTGCTGGTAATCAACTCTGCCCTCTCCGTATCAGGTTCTCTGGGCACTACGTGACATTCACCTGTTCCCGTTCTCACCTGCCTGCTAATCTCTGTCGGCGGAGATAAACAAGGGAGAAGAGAAGCTCGGGTGCCTCTCAAGCAGCCGTGTGCTGAATGTAGCTCGTCAATGTCACTTGTGGTGAACCGACCAAGCCTGGAGCACAGCCTGGATGGGGCGAAAATGTTTACTAACAAATGAAACAATGCACAATAGGAAAACATGCAATGCAACTGAAATATAGAAGAAACAAATGTGCATTGTCCAAAAGCTGATTACTGCATTGTATTCCATTATATTTTTAATTGTCACCCACCACCTTAATTTTGTTTCCCTTCATATAAATAAAGACATTTCCTCCATAAATTGTGTGCAGAATGCAGGAAATTAAGTGGTAAATGCGCAAAGTCGTTAATGTTATAATATTTACTAGTTTCATCTTCAAGCATTGTTAATATATATATATAATATGCTTGGAGTGCTGGTCTTTTGTTCTAAAATTTTGTATCCACTGAACCTTGCCCCCAAGTCTACTGTAAATTTTATTCTGAAAGTGAGCCATAGCTGGACAAACCATCCAACCAACTGCAACTGTCTGACCACAGTAGGAGGAAGATATATTTTAACTGTTGCAATTGCATATTTGGGGGAAATGAGGAAGTAGAAAATCAGTCTGTGGGTGCCTTGGTTCAGGTCTCAGTCTGCTCACTCACCAACATGACTGTTCATCTCAGCTTTCTTCTCATCCTCACTGGACTCACAGGTCAGTCACAAGGGTCATGTTAGATGATATTAATGACGACAATTATATAACTTCCACACAAGGCAGCTCATGAGAGGAAAGACGAGAGTTAGTGAACATCAACTAAAATACTGTGTTGTTCTTATTGCAGGAATTTGTAGCATGACTACAATCAGTCAAGTATCAGTGAAGGCTGGAGATTCAGTCACTATCCCATTTCTCTATGACTCACAATACATGAACAACGTGAAATACTTGTGTGAAGGATATTATTGGTCCCACTGCTCATATGCAGTTAGAACAAACCAGCCAAATTCAGGAAGGTTTTCAATCTCTGATGATAAAAGCAGAAGAATCTTCACTGTGACTATAAAAGATCTGACAGAAAGGGACAAATATTACTGGTGTGCTGTGGAGATTGATGGAGGGTCAGACGTTGGAGAGTATTTTCATCTGTCAGTCACAACAGGTAAGAACCCTTAAAGCTTCATTATGCACATTTCACATCCTTTGTAAAATTTTTACCATTTAGACACTGAGGAGGGTCTTATTGTTTGCTGCAGATACTTTTTTTAATAATTACTTTGTCAGTCAAAAGTGATAAGAATAAATGTAAGGGACAAGAAAAGTATTTATTCACCAGTTGTATTGTGACACATTTGAAACATCGCCAACATGTATCAAAATCTGTCCACAATTTTTTACTTAATACTATTTGTTTTCTCTTAAGGTACACCCAGTCTCTATGTAAATCATCAGGAGATTGCAGGACTTAATGGACAAAATGTAACCATCAATTGTAACTACAGTCACTCTGGAGAAATAAAGTGGTGCAGGCTGGGCAGATCCTGTGTAGCAGATCAGTCTGGATCAATAGATGGAACAAGAGTGACCATCAGTAAAAGTGTCCCTAATGTTTTCACTGTGACTATGAGTGGACTGAGGACAGAGAGCAGCAGCTGGTATTATTGTGTCAAAGGAGACTTTCAGATGCCGGTGCATTTAACTGTTACTGAGCAACCTACCTTTAGTAAGTACTGTAAGTAATTAGAATGTAGAAATACTTGTCAAGTACAACGAGCATTATTTATTGTCATATTAAAGTGGTAATCATGGTGCTTTTTTGAATTATACACACACCTACAGCAACAAGACATTTAACCACATTGTCACCCACTCCTGAACATGTGAGTCACTCCTCTGTCTTTGCAAGCGACACACACACAGCTCAGGATGGACACCAAAAGTGAGTAGCTTTTGCATTAACATACAGTTTTTAGAGAAATTTTGCAGTCCAGAAAACAGTCTTTGTGTGTTTGCTGAGATTAGATGGTAAGGATGGTTCTAAGATTAAAGAACAATAACATAGGATTTTGTGAAACTAGTGCAGTATATGTTCAGGATGATAACTAGATTTTAGACTATTGTTTAAATAACACTGTTTTTTTCTCCAATTAATTTGCCCTGTATGCTTAACATGCTGCAGCCCTTTCAATTTCTTGAAGAGCTTCATCATCCGTGTGAGCTTGTTGATCTTTGTAATGGTGACCTTGTTCATCTGGTTTATGTTCAAAAGATACAGTAAGTACTTTTATGGTGAACCTATAGATCAAATTCATGTTTTTAAAATGGTTATTCTAAAATATTTTGTTTGAAAAAAGGAATATTAATGCATTATCGTCACTGAGTATTGAGAGTCTAACGGCTGGTTTTACTGTCTCTTATAGAGCAGACCAAGGTAGAATCATCAGCCACAACAATGGTAAAATATGCTTGTACATTTCCCAATATCATTTTTCACAGAGACGACTGCATTACACCATAGAAGTAGAGAGGATATCAACGTATTTTCTGTTTGTTTACTTCAAGACTATACTGTACCTTTTATTGTTAAGAAGCAGCGGTAACTATAATTAGAATTTAATGTCTGAATTAAATTATTTAGTGTTGTTAAGGTGGTCACGTAGATGTAAAATTGTGTAGTCATAAATGAATTTGCTTCTCCTCCTTCAACAGACTGAAGAGGAAGTAAAATACATAAAAAAAACTTCAGGTTAGGTAATTAATCAGTAAAACCTCAATATTATTTTACACACCAGTAACAAAATGATACAAATTTGAAATTATCAAAAAAAATTGAAACTCTCTGTCTCTCTTTCTTTACCCAGTGGTCGCGCATGCAGAGATTGATGTGGAAGGAATATAATATTCTGTGGTAGGCGACAGACAAAGGGACACTTATCACATATTGTAGTTCTATATTTTGTGCAGACCATGTTGTTAGGCGTGTCACCAAGTCAAAATGTGCCCTTTAATTGAGTCACTTCCAAACTTGCAGTATTTTTGCTTTGCAATACATAGTTTCTTTGTTCTTCCTTCCTCATTTTTTTGTTTGTTGTCTAACATGTTGAAAAGATGTAGGTGTTATGTACGCTTGCATGTTGTCTCAGCACCAAGTTTGTTTGTTTAGTTTTTTCACCATGCATTTGTAGCTACCTCTGCATAACTGCAAAACATTACAAAGAAGCACTGACTTGGTTGTTTGACAAGGGCAATAACAAGTCAAGCTTACACCCAATATATGTATATTGGTTTCCTTGTTCTTAATTCACAATAATATAATTCTGATTTCTATTTTCAGGATGCTTATAAACTCAGTATACTAGGCACAGATTATAATTAATATTTTTGATACTGTTTTCATTCCTTTAAAAATCAAGGCACATTTATATTTAACTGAATAAAGATTTTTTTTAAACTTGCAGTAGTGAAGTACTTAATATTTTACACTTGTATATATTAATATTGCACCAACTTTGTGAAGCTACAAACATTTCAATTAGCAATTTGTAAGTTGGTATGACCAACAACTCAGCCAAAGTCAAGAAAAACTACCTTTTTCTTGAAAGCAGATACACTACAATCTACTCAAAAAAAGTAGGCTAGCTTAACACATTAAAGCTACTTTAAGAAACATACTATGATAAATAAATGCTCTCATTATTTTGTGCATTTAAGTATTACCACACATTTTATGAGGTAAACAACAATACTGTACAGATTAGGCACTGAGAAAACAGAACCCAAAGTGTCAAGAGTAGCCTCCTGCCTCCATGCGTTAAAATGAGGAACGTGGGAAACCCCGAACCAACCTTTTAATAGCACGCAGATGTAACCAATGATAGCCTTGCAGTCGACCACTACCAGCCATTTCCTCTTCCACAAAAGAGGCTATATCCTCCAAGTCCGTGTGATTAATTCTTCAGAATAGAGACAGTTTATTGCATAGTTTTTTCAAAGTCCTGATACTTGTGATAATTTGGTGCTGATGTGCCAAAAGATTTAGTATCTCGTTATTTGTCAAACCTATATTAAAGTATAACTTCACAACATTCTCCACGTTCCTCATTTTAACGCATGGAGGCTGCAGGCTGCTCTTCTGATATTTCCCCTAACATGTAGTTTAAAAATACTACTTTATTCTCGTAATAGTACGACTTTATTCTCGTAATATTATGACTTTATTCTCGTAATATTACGACTATATTGTTATAATCTCTGATTTCTTTTACTCCTCAATGTGGCCCTAATAATCCGTCGTAGGTTTCTGCTTTACCGCCTTTTAATTAAAAAAAAAAAGTTTGGTATCGCCCATCCCTAATAAAAGTGTCATTATTGTTATGACCAGAGCCTGAACTGTGACGCAGCCACGGTCGTGACCATAGACTGTATATAAAAAGGCCGTGACAAGCATTTTTATTCAGGCACATATGTGGCTGTCCTGGGTCCTTAGCCGGGATGCGATGGGTCTGGATTTCATTGCAGTGCAGTCTCCTTCAGCTCGCCCTCCAACCGGTGACGCCTACCTCTGCCGTGCGGTGTGAGGAACATCTCTAATAAAGTCACTCTAATTTATCGCTAGGTCCATCTTCTACTGGTAAGAAACACATTTATTAAGTATGACACTGTTAATCAACTCGTTAACAAGCAGTAACTCGTGTTTAAGCGTGCTTTACACACACCGGTACTCTGTAGGCTAGCAAACTTAACTTAGCTAAGCTAGCTCCATGTCTGACACATGTAAAGTGAAAGCTGGGGAGTTTTGCTTTATAATAAACGTCTCATGCTTCTGTTGAAGCGGCAGGTGTTCTGTAAAGCATCTATCAGTAAAAATAAATCACAACTCACCACTTTAACGGTGGCATTATCATCATTTGGATAACCTCACTATGGCCTAGTTAGCAGTAGTGAGGTATGTTAGCTGGCTGATCGTGCAAGCGGACCAGTTAATTAACACACCCGGCTAATTTGCACCGGCATGTGCCGAGGCAAGCCTAGCTGTGGCTGCCAATTCACGTGGAGCGGTAGTTTAATAAAGGCCACGCCTGAGCCACTGTTAGGCACTCCAGTGCGACAAAATGGCTCCCCTCTCACTCAGTAACCTTGTCCATCGATTGTCACACTAGTTCTGATGTGACTACCTGCAATACTGGAATGCTGTTACTGTGCCGGAGGTATGCAAAGTGAAACCATCACTGTTAGTGTCAGTACTCACCATCAACTGGGTAACATGAGACTTAGAAAGGGGTTTGGACAATGTGCCGCAAAGGCTGTATATCCCACAGTGTTGCGTAGCATGAGCTGACAGATACAGTGAATACAGGTGAATCTGTGCAGCAAGAAAGATCCATGCATCTGGTCATCGACCAGATGGTAAGAGTCTGGTTATAAATGCCCACTAATGCACTGTATAGCTTTTGGATTTAACGGGTGTAGGCAGGAAGAACAGATACTGTTGCATGTGAACCAGCCTTGGTTTCTTTTGCTTCAAGAAAAAATGCATCTTCCATACTAGCCAGTGTTTGGCATATTCATATTATGCACAAATAATTCTCACAATGCATTCATAGCTTCTACCAATTGCATACTGTAGCCCCACAATAAAATAAATGCATGTAGTATATTTATGAGACTGCAATCCCTGCTTATAACCTTAAATATTGATGTTCTTTACGTGATATAGAAACTTTGCAGGTAGCTTGCTATGTAACAGTTTCGCTGACAGACATTTGCAACTGTTAAATAAGTGTTACCCGCAAGTCACATTCAATTGTGCAGGAGAGCTAAATTGTTAATTGAAATCTTTCTACATAATTACATTTTGGGTTTCTTTGTAACTATACACAAGCTTATGAAAATATATACTTCATGTCAAAGGAGTAATTTGAGCATTGCGTTTTGCTTCTGTCTACAGATACAATGGCCGTGCCTCCCTGTTATGCTGATCTGGGCAAGTCCGCCAAGGACATCTTCAACAAAGGCTATGGTATGTTTTTTAACCATGTGATGAAGTAGTAGTGTGATGTTAAAACTTCTGTACTGGCAGGTGTACATACTGTTGTAGATTTTAAATCCGCATTTAAATAATTTGAACAAAACAATTGTTTTCTTCAGGATTTGGCTTGGTGAAGCTCGATGTCAAGACAAAGTCGGCCAGTGGAGTGGTAAGCTCATTTCTTTTGTGGATTAAGAACACAAAACTAGAACTTACTTTATAGTCACTATAGTGATGAAACTTCACAGTAAAGTTACAAAGGATGGTGTCAATTTTGTATTGTGAGTTAGCTTACATGTCTTTATGTTTGACACTTCCTGGCTCTGTTCTGGCATTGTCAGCCAATAAAGTCTTATTGGTAGTAAGACGGCATATCCAACCTCCAGTAAATGTGCCAGTCTTCATATTTAACCCCACTCAGCCGTGCAGATTACAAGGTCTGCAGATAATGATAGTTTTATTAACAAATGATAATTTGGTGAACCCATTAAAATAATTTTATATTATTTGGAGTGAACAATGAATCGAAATTTTACTGAAATCGCATCGCAGTTCCCAGAGCCCAAGATAAACGTTAAAATGAAATAAAAAAATTTAAAACAGAAGACTTTGCTCTTCTGTTTGGTATAATTGTCCCACACTTGGAAAAGCTGTAGGAGTTTGAGACTTGAGGAATCATCTAATCGAACATCAAAATTCCTAACTAATTTTCTCTCACAATGGGCAGTTGTTACAGCTTTCTAGATTACACATACTTTTTGTTTTTAACATAAAATAAGGTTGGGTTTAAGGCCAAGAAATTAGAAATATTAATACAAATATAGTATAGTACAATCGGCCTGACTGCCGATTGTACTATAAGAGAGAACTGAATGGGTTTCTTTACATTCAGTTATTTCATCCAGAGTAACTTGTCTTTAAGTTTTTCTTGTGATTGTCATTCCTCTAAAATTGTCCCTTGCAGGAATTCAAAACATCTGGTTCCTCCAACACTGATACCAGCAAAGTAGCAGGCAGCCTGGAAACTAAATACAAGAGGTCAGAATACGGCCTGACCTTCACTGAGAAGTGGAACACTGACAACACCTTGGGGACAGAAATCACTGTGGAAGATCAAGTAAGGGCAATATTCAGACATTTCCTAAACCTGTTATTTAACAAAAATAAATAAAGTTTCTACCCTCTGAGAATGACAGAACAACATTAATTTCTTATGTCAAATGTTTTCTGTTGTGTGTCACAGATTGCCAAGGGACTGAAGCTGACTTTTGACACAACATTCTCTCCAAACACTGGGTAAGATGGTTTTAAAAAATGATTTCTTAGTCATGTGAATTTTACTTGAACTCATTGCTTAACATAGTTTGCTCGGCCTGTTGCCTCTCTACGTGAGTAACTTTGGCAACCTGATCCGTGCTGTTCATGCTTCTGACGAGTGTTGTTGCTGGCCATGTGACCCCAGTCCCAATATGGAGCTAGTCTGTTACTTACTGTGGTTTACTGTCGGGTTCTGCACTTTTGCTTTAATTATGTTTTGTTCTCAGAGGATTTTGTCTTTATGTTTATTATTGAGCCCAGATACTGAGGTGATCCTTAATGTTTTTGCTTTCTATGAGATGTAAATCACATGAAGAATATGGCACATGGCCCAGAGGAAGCGTGTCCTCTCATGTTGAAAGTGGTGAGGGTGGAGATATGTGGCTACATTGATGCAGCGTGTCCAAGGCCCCAGTGTCATGCTCAGGCTGGGAAATAAACACCAGCATTGAGCAAAATGATTTTGGCAGTGACCAGCAAACTAGACTTGAGTCAGCCATGACTCTTAAAGTCCTAGCTGGTGAAATAGTGGCTGATCATTTACTCAGTGTTCCAGCTATGTGGCCTATGAAGAAAAATATTTCTTATGCTTTTTGCTACTTGAGCTGACAGCATGCACAGTGCATAGGTTCAGAATTATCTCTGGGGGAACACAAATCTATGGCAGTGGTTCCCAAAGTGGGTGCTAAAACACCCTTGGGTGCGTTGAGGACGAGGCCAAGGGAGGTAATTACTATTAAGGAATGGGCGCCTTCCTAATATTGTTTCACCACATTAAAAAATTAGGAAACCTTTTACATGAACTTGTGTGTTATGTCTTCAAACCTATCAAAACAGAAGACCCGAAGCATATCAGAATTACACAGAACAATGCTGCCTATCCCTGTTTGTGTCAACACTGTCGAGGATGCAGTCTTGTTTGAACAAAGTAGTACATTAGTACAAATTAGCACATTTAAATGGGCACAGTGCAGGAAATATAACCTGGTCCTAGAAGTGCTTTCTTGGTGCCTATTTTGACTTGATTTCAATTAAGGTTAACCATAGCTGTGTTTCTATTCCACAGCAAGAAGAGTGGCAAAGTTAAGACCGCCTACAAGCGTGAGTACG